AATAGAAATTTAAAGGATTATTATTAAATGTAAATATATTCTCCTACTAAATTAACATTCATCAAACTCCAAACATTGGATAGTATGCAAGTCGCAATATTTATTTGACTCTTTGAATTCCAGGTGACATTCATCCTGTAAAATATATGTTAATAGACTCAAAACCGAAAGCAAATGATATACTGACCAAGAAAGACTGTAAATCTTTGTTAAAGGATCTCTATGTAAATACATTTCTCTTTATTCATATTTATTTTCCTCTGGAACAGCAATTATAATCAGAGATTTTCTTGTCCTAATTAAAAAGGAAATATAACTTATCAATAGTTTAGTTAGACACCTCATTATAAGAGTGCTAGTTGATTTTTTGAATGAACATTTTTATTGTGGCCAATCAGAAAAATGAGAATTTATAGCTCAGCAATAAGTAAACCTTTCAGAACTGTTTATTGTTCCAGTTCATTAAAATATTCTATCTTTTGGACAGTATTTCTTAAGAACCATGAAATTAATAGTGTATTTTTAAAGTTTTATTGGCATTTATTTCCTAAATCTAATTTAGCCCTAGTGTTTAATTGTGCTGTCTCATACAGTCTAGGAGTCTGGCAGTTAAAATTATTTTTCTGTTTTAAAAGAAAAACATTTTCCTCCAGGGCTAGCTTTCATATTCTTGAATGTGTTTATGTCACACTGCCTTGCATTTTCATGTGCTGAAATCTTGAGAATCTGTCAGAGCTAATCTGGATCTGATATTTCTTTGTGTCTTAAAATTATGCTGAAATTTCAATTAGTAGCTAATCATGCCCCTGGCTTGGCAGGATATATGGAACTAAAATTTTGTATACCAGCTACTAGAGTTAAAATTTAAATCTTTCACTACACAAAGCAAGGGGCCATACAATAAACATTAATTGACAATGTGCAAGGTGCTAATCACTGTATGGACTATAGAAGTCTAAAAGGTACCACTCATGTCCTCCAATGTAGAATAATTCAATCCTTTTCCACTGTGCCTTCTATACATGTAGTCAATAGTGAACAGATTCCTCTTCAGAGAACCTACCTTCTACTTACTTGTCCTAATTAGAATCTATCTTTGCAGTAAGAATCACTCTTTCCTTTTCATCTTCCTAAGAGGAGTTGCTTTTTTCCCAAGGCTCCTGACCCGCAAGTACCTATAATCTGAATCAATATTTGCAGAACAATTTCAGACTTCATAGAAACATGTCAGATAATTATCTTGTCCTCATTCTTACTGTCTTTGCTAAAACTCCTTGGTGCATTTCCTGAAGACTTGTACTCAAGGTTGACCATCATTTCATCTACTGCATCTCCCAGGATCATCTTGAGCAATTTTAATGTCTCCTGAAATATTTTCCCAGTGCCTTTATTTCCTCAGTCCTAAAGACTTTCACCTAGTCCTGAATATACATCAGATTTGTCTTTATTTTATCACCTTTTACTCAAGTATCCCAATACCCTATCTAGCAATGTGTCTCTATTTGTCTGTTTATCTCTGGTCTATCCTTCACTCAACTCCTAAAGTCATATTTTTTAAACATAAATCATTTTAGACTCTTCCCAGACATCAACATTTGAGGTAGTTTTTGTTGCCTAGAGAAGTGCCTCACAACTTTCCCTCATCATGGCTTACATTGGAAAAGGTAATAAATATGAGGGACGCCAGTTGAGAGGAAAACTGGGACCTGGAGGCCACTAACCTGGGGTATATTTGCCTATGGTACATTCACTGAGCCTCTCCCATGTGGAAGATAAAGGCAAACTCTCTAGCTTTGCTGTCTCACTTAGGGTTCTCCCAGTCCTTTCTTTCCCGAAGCAGAACTTGGAACAAGAACTTGAGTATAGGTAATTTGAAAGTAGCAACCAGGGATTAAATATTGTGAGACAGGGTGGGGAGATGCCCTCTGGACAACTGGGGCTTATTTCTAGTGAGGACTCTCTGAGAAAATGTGTAGAATGAGTCACAGAATTGTTTTACAGAAGGACGACAGGTGAGTGGGGCCTTTTTCCACAGACTCTCATGGATTGTGTGTGGCTCCCAGGGACAAGCTCTGCATTTCCAGGCTTTACCTAAAGGGCATCTCAAATGTCTTTGTGCTTTGGAGAAAGTTCTAGAGTTTTATCTACTTGGGTGGGAGAAGTGCATTGAGCTGTTTTCCCCAGCTGCTATGTGCTCTTGTGGTCAAGATAATATGAAATGGAGTGTCACAAATGTCTGGAACAGCTAGTACCACTCACAACTTGTTGTGCCTCACATTAAGAGCACTCTGTTACTAGCTCTTTAGGAAGTGGCTGGTCATAATACACTAGAAAGAAAAAAAAAAAAATAGACTTAAGACTGGAGGGTTAGTGGACCAGCTGCAGGCTGCACTAGCCTCAAGCTGGTCTTTAGTCTGTGATTACCTCAAGACTTCTCCCTCCTTGGATACTCATTTCTGATTTTCCTCACCCTCGGTCAGCATTTCTGCTAGTTTGCCTGGTGAAGCAACCCAAACTGTCATGTCTGAGGAGTCTGAACCCTTGGCTGCCTTGCCCTTTCAGGCTATCAATCACCAAGCATGGAAGCACCAAGAGATGTCCCAGATAATCCCGTGTTCCCAGCATCCTTCTTTCTTCCCCTGCTCTCTCACAGCAATCCAATTTTCTCATGGTGGTTAGAGCTGATTGTTCCATGTGCCTCCTCTCTTTTCCTACTGATCCAGCAGCATGAGAGATGCAAAGTAACTAGGCAGAGCTCTGGCTGCAGTGAAGCCCTTCCCTGTCCATGAGTTCTCAACTGGGGATGATTTTTCCCCCAAAGGACATTTGGCAATATTTAGAGACATTATTCATTATTCCATTTGGGAGGAGGGTAGATAGTGGAATCTACTGGGTAGATGTCAAGGATACTGCTAAGCATTTCGCATTATGCAGGCCATGCCCCCTCCCCCTCTCACAACAAAGAATTATCTGGCCTCAAGTGACCAGAGTGCCAAAGTTGAGAAATCCTGCTCTAGTATAGGTGAGTCCCCTCTGGGAACCTGGACTTCCAATCCCACAGAGCCTAGATAGATGCACACAGAATGCATACAGTCTACAAATGGGTCCCTGGGTGCAAAGGTTCATTTTCCCACACTTTGGTTCCCAGACTCATGTTTCTAGCCATTGAGGACCCAGCGTCAAACAGTGTCCACTGGGTCAATGCATAAATTGCATTGCAGAGGAGAGTGACTTGGAATTGTCCAATCAAATGATGGAAAAGCTGGGACATGTATCCACTCACGTCTTGGGGCTGTGGTGAACCCGTGAGTCAGGACTTTGGCCGTGATGTAACTGTGTCTCATAGTCATGCTGAACCCACATGGGTGGAAAGAATGTACAAAGACCAGAAGCATATGTTCTACATAGAAGATATTCAGAATATGAGGACAGGTAAGGACAGAGGCTTTTTCTTTATTGCCAGTGAGGTAGGTTCATATGAATGACTTAATAATTGTCCGTTAAGCCAGGCTTGGTAGCTCAGCCTATAATCCCTCGCTTTGGGAGGCTGAGGTTAGTGGATTGCCTGAGCCCGCCAGTTCGAGACCCGCCAGGGCAAGTTGGTGAAACCTCATCTCTACAATAAATCAAAAATTAGCTGGGCATGGTAGCATGTGCCTGTAGTTCCAGCTACTTGGAAGGCTGAGGCAGAAGGATCGCCGGAGCCCAGCAGGTCGAGGCTGCGGTGGCCAGGAGCGGCCACTGCCCTCCAGTCTAGGCGACAGAGTAAGACTCCAACTCAAGAATAAATAAATAAATACATAGATAAATAAATAATTATCTGTTAAATGAAAATGAAACAACTGAGCATGAATAAAAACAAATCAATGAATGAATGAAATTTTGCCTGAAATTTTTCAAGTGTTTTGAATATTTTAGAGTCGTTACTAGTATATTCTTAGATAAAGATCTCAAATCTGTGGCCACCCCTATAGATGTTGTGATGTCAGCAGTCAGCATTTCTTGTAATTGTTCTTGATTTTTCCCTTCTCTGGCTTGCTGAGCCATTACCCAGTTTAAGATCATTAGTATAATACTTTTATTTGACCTTCTCCTTTGCTCCTATATGATTGTTTAGCTGACACATTCATGAAGGCATTATTTAAATTTTAAGAGAGGGGTAGCATTTCAGTGGGTGGAGATGGAGTGCAGACAAGACCCTAAACAAACAGAAATGTAAGGATAAGGAATTGCTGAGTGTGTTTTCAGGTAATGTGAGTAATTAGAGCATAGGATACATGAATTATATATGGGAATAAGAGGAAATCTTTGAAAATCTAGTTGGGGCTACAATTTGCCAGGCCTTTTAGTACCAAGCTAAGGCATCCTCATACCGTCATAAATGGTCCAGTTACTGATTGTTTATGGTGTCCTCCCTCTATAGTAAAGTTCATGCTCTTTGACAGTGTACTATATGCCTTGACCTTCAGCCATTCTGTCTAAATTCTCTTCATCTATCAAGATCCCTCATCAGTTTCACCTATTGCATCAGGTTCTTTCTAATCACTCATGGCCGTATGAATAAATTCCCCAAGCTTTTACATTTTGCACTTCTTAATCTCCACTTAACCTAATGCTTGGCGTTGTTTAACTTTTTATGTGTTTTATCTCCACTCCCCAACTACTTAAGAAACCAGTCAAGGACAACACTCTAATTCTATCTGTCTCCTACACCAATAAGCAGAATGCATGCAATATTCTTTCTAGGAGATTTGTCTTTTGTTGGGTCCCTTTCCTCTCTTCCTCCTACGCCTCCCCACCCCCCACCCCATACACACACATGCCCTATCATGTTTTCTGTCTCTGTCTCTTTCTGTGTCTCTGTCTCCACCCTCCATCTCACTCACCCACATGCATACAACATATACCACACAACGCCACTCAGCTTTTGCTTTTCTCCTGCTTACTTTTGCTTTGAATTATTCCTGATGGAATTTTGTTTTTGTCGGCTTATTTCCTAGATGGGAAGTGATGGAATTTTACGCCTCAGTACTTCGGCTCTAAATAATGAATTCTTTGCATATGCAGCACAAGGGTGGAAACAGCGTCTGGCAGAAGGTAAATTTCTGTTTTCTATTGTGATGTGGCATATTGGCATGTAAATACTGTACTGAGCTTTTTACTTTTATCTGATATTCAAGTCGTTTTTTCCCCCAAATATACTTTAATTTAGTAAAAACTCACATCACATTCCAAATGACTTCGTGCAGTCTTTTGTTATGCTTGGCATTTTTAATGTCAGATATTTTTGAAGAAAGCATAATTTTATCTTGAACTTAATAAAAATTTTGCTATAGCAAGATTTTTTTTTGAATGGCATTTTAATTACATTGTGTAATCCATTATGTATCCTCATAAGTGTCCTGGAACTTTCTGTTAATAATTACAGAACTTTCTGTTAATACTTTCTTACCCTGAAGTCACCACTTCACCTTATCCTTCCTTTAGTCATCAAGCTTCTTGAAAGACTAAGAAACACCCAATACTGCCATATTTTTCCTCTTTAAGCAAACTGTTATAATCCTGGGTGGCCCCACTCTTCACAACTGAACTATCCCTCTTAAATAATACTAATAGCTTTCTAATGGCAGGCTCCCATTTTCTCTTCTCGGTCCTTATATTTCAAGTTCTTCTGCCAGTATCTCATTTGTTTTTTTTTTAAATCCTAACCAATTTGAAAACATCTACCTTAGACATCCAGAGTAGATTTTAAATTGTTTTCCGGGGCTGCGTATCTGACAGCACTGTCTCAGCTTCTGTCAGGAACTCCTGTTCTTCCGTCCGATGGTAAATGTTGACATCTCCAGCAGTTTCTCTTATAACCATCTATATTCTCTAAGTGGTCTCATTCCCTGCCTTGGTTTTAACTATTGCTGATAGCCAAGAATTTCACATCTGGTTCTTGTCCCCCATTCCTGACCCCTACTGTTTTATTTTTAAATGCTTATCACATCTCACTAGCTGATCTCAGGCACCTTAAAACTGAAATGCCCAATATTAAATTCACTAGCTTCCCTTTCATATCTAGTCATTCTTCCTCTTTCTCTTTCTATAATGTCACCGTTGTCTTCAGAGTTCCCAGTCTAAAACCTTACTGCTATTTTTGACTCCCTTTTCTCCATATTTATCTGGTCATGAACCGTTACTAGTACCTGACCCATCTTCAACATTCCCACTGCTACTGGCCCGATTGTCATCTCTGCCTCTCAGCTGAGCTTGTTAGTAGCTTCCTAGCTGGAGTCCTAATTTCTTCATTCTGTTGTCCTACTCTAAGCTGCATATTTGACCTCCCTCATGAACGCCACTCTCTCATGTAAGAAAATGAAGGACTATCTTTAAAACACGCACTGGGTAATTGGCCGCAGTTTTTCTTTCTCATTTTATTTCATCCTCTGTTATACTCACAATGGCCACTCAAAAGAATATGAATATACATATTCATATCTCTGTGCCTTGTTACTTAATCAGTTTATAAAAGCCTGATTATCCTCCAGAAGCTAACTCAAGAATCATCTCTTATATGTGGTTCTCATTAATCGGTTTAGTCAGAATTAAGTGCTTTATTTTCTATACTTTCACTACATTCATTCTTATGGCCTTTATAGGACTTTTGACATAATATTATAGTCAACTAAGTGCTTCTATTTCTACCAGACTGACTTTCTCAAGAACAGTGAATATACACTCTTATTTGCCGCCCCCAGCAGGTAAAGCTAAATGCTTTCAAAGTTCATCTATGATGGAATGACTACCTGAGTGATGTTCATAAAAAGAGAACTGTGGAAATGTTATCATTATTCATCCTTTTACTTTTCAACACCCATAAAAACTTAATCAGATGAACTACAGATCTTCTTTATTAATTGGCAAAAGATGGGACCACTTTTACTCACTATATTAGCATTTTCTTTCAGGAGAGTTTACCCCAGAAATGCAGTTGCGGATAAGGCAAGAAATTGAGAAGGAAAAGAAAACAGAACCTTGGAAAGAAAAATTCTTTGAGAGGTTTTATGGAGAAAAGTAAGTACCAAAGTATTTTTTCTCATTTCTCTTAGAAGGAAATGAAAATGTAATTCTCTGCTTCACATAGCACACGCATATGCTGTAAAACTTAATAAACCTGTGATAAAAGGCAATAGTCCCTTGGAGTAAGAAATTGTGGATAAAATTATAGTGGCATATCAGCACTTAAATTTTTAAAAAATGCATTTTCAAGGGTTTATAACTTGTTCATGAAAATTTATTTTGGGCTGAAAATGGCAAAAGAAATCTTATAGAAGTCATTCTTGATTTTCCTAATGGATTTTAGTAAAATTCTTCTGTTTTCACCTATTTTCATTATTGAGTACTTTATAATAAGTTGTTTTAAGCACATATTTATTTCTCACATTTTTCCCAAAAATATTGACTGAATGTATACATTTTAATCTTTGTGTAGTCCTTATTTTGGTGACAGCTTGAGGTATTATCCTTCACTTCACCTTCCTCTTTGTTTCTTCTCTAAGCAGTATCAGCCTTTACATGAAAGTGTGGTAGTAACTCAACTAATGTGAAAGCAGTTTTGTCTTTGCCTCATGTTTAGTAGAGACATATTCTACTTGGGCAAAATTAGTGGCTCATAGACAATCAGATACCTAAGAAAAGATGGGCTTAGGAACTTACTATTGACAGTAACTCCAGATCCTCCAGTAGAAAAATTTGTGTTTTAACTCCCACATGCACAATCAGTGCTTGAAAGTAGTCATTTTGTATAGAAGACACAGAAATGTTCCCAGGTAACAAAACCTATGCTGTGTGATCTAATTTCACAGAATTTCCCTTGTAAATGGGGGGGGGGGGGAGGAAAAAAATTCCAGAATCTCATACAAGAGTTCTCTATGAAAACAAATCAGTTGATTAACAGACTGTTCAGAGTAAGCTAACCTTGGTGAATTATTCTAAATAGCAGTACTCTTGAATAGGAAGGCCTGTTTTTAATTGCTGTGCCAGGATTCCTAGATGTATATACATACTTAGCAAAACTAAATATAAATAGAGATCATGAATGTTTTTTCTCAAAAATTAAAAATGTGGCAGTCTAGGTGTTTGTGTTCATATATAGTCACCAGCAGTATTACTCAAGCCTGGCTGCATCAAAATCCTCATTGGAGATTGTAAAAATAGATACAGATTTTCCAGACTCACCCAAACATAGTGATTAAGAAACTCCAGGAGTTGAGCCTGAGAATCTGTGTTTTCAGGAGCTCTTCAGGTCATGCTCTTGCCCAGCAGGATTAAGAACTCTAGAGGGCCAGGCTCAGTGGCTCAGCCTATAATCCCAGCACTTTGGGAGGCCAAGGCGAGTGGATTGCCTGAGCCCGCGGCTTCAAGACCAGCTGGAGCAACTTGGCGAGACCTCGTCTCTAAAAAAAAAAAAAATTAGCCAGGCATGGTAGCACACACCTGCAGTTCTGGCTACTTGGAAGGCTGAGGCAGAAGAATTGCCGGAGCCCAGCAGGTCAACGCTGGGGTAGCCATGAGTGTGCCACTGCACTTCAGCCTGGGCAATGGAGTGAGACTCCAACTCAAAAAAAACCACAAAAAACCCTAGAGGACGAGACTGAAGACCACAGGGGAATCTTCCTACTCCCTTGTCTGTGAAAGGGAATGATGTTGGGAGCATTATTTTTAGTAGTGACAGAAACAACTGAGTTAGTTACCTCTAAGCACTAGTTCTTAATTTTTGTTGAGTGATGGACCCATTTTTTTATTAGTTTAACATATTTATCCAACATCTCTTCTGAGCCACATTATTCTGGATGCCAGGGGTGCAGTTATCTATAGTGCTTCCTACACTCTACTCTCAGAGAGCTTCTGTTCTAGGGACTTAACACTGCAGAGAATTTTCTTTCATTCAGCAAATAATCATTGAGCATATTCTGGCTCTGACATGTTTCTAAGAGCTTTGCAAATATTACTTTATTTAATCAACCCATCAATACTAAGGTGGAAACCATTATCTTTATATTTTTAAAAAAGATTAGGAAAATAAGAAAAAGTGAAGCTAAGTTATTTCTCCAGATTTATAACAGTGAGGTTAAATAACTTGTTCAGAGTCCTAATCCTCAGAAGAATTCACACACATGCACAATTTTTTTGCATGAAATTTGGGGACTTCACAGACTCCATGGATATCAGATTTAAGGTCCCTGCCCTAGAAGGTGACAGCTATGATACTGTGAGTAAACATGGCCCCTCATCACCATCACCAACTCTGATTACAAACAATTCTGCTTGACCCTTTTCTTTCTGTAGTTTATCAATAGTTTTTGTTCCCTCACATTTCTGGACTTGTCTCTTGTTCTTTTCTACCTTTAATTACATATTGGATGGCAGATGTATTTTGGACATTTTCTTGACTGACCTTCTAATTTTGTTACTCCCATGTAACCTACGCTCCCCAGCCCCTGCAATCTGTGAGGGATTTTCCCTAGCTCCAGACAGCTTTTAGATGACTGATACCATGTGCCTTTTTATTGCTTTAAGTTTTTTTCAAGAATGTTGCCATTCAGACTTGTCTCCAGTTAAGATCTGTTTGGTTTAGTTTTCTGCTATTTGTTTCGGATACGTATTATGATTCTTGCTTAATCTCTTCATAATATAATATTGTTCTATATTTGTTTTAGTTATTTAGAGGTCATCCATTTATATATGCTAAGTAAGAATTAGAGGTCTCGGACTGTGAATTTGCGGTTTAGATTTCTGGAGTTCAGGGTTTTCCTTCGTGTAGTATGAAGTATGCTGTGAATATCTTCTATGCCTTATTTCATCTTAAAACTATTTTCCTGTGAAAAAAATAAAATGTGGACATAGGCATATTCTATACTGGCTGCTTTGCATATGATATACTTACATATATATTTGATAATATAATTATTAACCAACTAGCAGAAATCTGGCCACAAGTGATTATATTTCTATGTGTTACATGCTTAACCTAGTATCAGTGCTACCTGTGCTTGACCTACTCCCAAGGGACCTTATTTCTAGCTGATTATTCTGCTTTAAATTCACCTGTAGTTATTGCTCTGCTTCACTCAGTAAAGTATGGTTATAAATTGTAGCTTTGTTTGAACCCATCATAGCAAATGTTGAATTATGAAGGCAGTAGCTTCCATCTTTTTTTCAGAGATGTCTAAATTTATGTAAAGGAGGCAATGATCAAATACCCAAAAAGTATACTCAATTTTATTGTACTTTAATTGAGGAGATTTTATTTAAATAATATGTTAAAGTGAATTTCACTGAGGTGTTTTCTTGTAACATTATCATAGCTGTATTACTTCATTCAAATGTGTTTCTTTCTCAGGAAATGTCTCTCTTCTGCTTATCTTTGTCATTGCCTGTATCCTAATTTAACTGCATTTAGAACAGCATAGTTATCTACCATCTGATGCTGACATTGTAAGTCAATATGACCGAAGACAGTGACTTACAGTATCCTTGACTGTAATTCTGATTAGATTTGCCTTACGACTGGAACATTAGGCTGGATTATTTCTTAATTTTCTTTACTATTGTGTATGGAATATCTTTACAATAAGAGATCTACATGAAATAATTTTAAAGTCTTGATTCATGGAAATGATAATGGGTAAAATGACTTTGATGACTCCAAATATGTTTTGTTATTCTTTAATGAAATTTCCATTTTGTCTTAGGTTAGACTCTTAGATGCTAAAATAAAATGACTGAATAACACTTCTTAGATCAGTTTAAGAGAATGAATCTTTAGAACTCATTTCAATTTCAGAATTTGATGGAATTTCATTCCTCTTCCATTGATCTTAATTATTTGGCTCTGTTGCATCTTCTGAAAACTACATAATTTTTTTATTATAAGAGCAACTTTCTACTCCATGATTTTTAAAAACAGGTCTTATACATTATTTTGCTTTACTCTCCATATTTTCAAATGTTTTGTTGTATGTAATTTTCTTATTATATTTACTAACACTTGGTAATGTTCATATCTCCTTGCTTACAAAATAAAAATCTATCTTTCTAAACCAGCAGTAAAGTATATTTTAGTTGTGATTATAAAAACAGGAGGCAAACTACATCACCATAAACTAGTTTATGTAAATTAAGCATGTCAGTAATTATACAATTAATTGGATGCATTTACTTCTATTGAATTCTACATTTGTGAGGGATTCAAGTTGTGCCTTTATTTTTGTGGTTGCACAATAGTTTAATGTCTCTAATTTTTGTTCAGGTTGGGCATGTCAAGGGAGGAATCTATGAAACTCACTTCTGGACCCAACAGTGATGCAGCTGAAAGTAGTTCCTCATGTGCAACCTCTGGCCTTCTGGGTTCTTCTGCACAAACTCCCCTGGAAGAACAACGGCCAAAAAGCATGAAAAGCCCAGCTTCTCCAGAGCCTGATTTCTGTGCTACCCTTTGTCCTATGGTAGAGGTTCCGGCTAAAGATGTAATGGCAGAATCAGAATCAGAGGATATCTTGATCCCTGAAGAATCTGTAATTCAGGAGGAAATTGCAGAAGAGGTAGAGACTAGTATCTGTGAATGCCAGGATGAAAATCATAAGACAATACCTGAATTTTCTGAGGAGTCTGAAAGTTCAACAAACTCTCAGGAAGAAGCCCATATAGCAACTCCTGAAGATAACTTGGAATCCTGTGTTATGATGAATGATGTTTTAGAAACTTTGCCTCAGATTGAAGTGAAGATAGACGAGAAATCAGAATCTCCACAGGAAGAAATGTCAGTTGTTATTGATCAGTTAGAAGTATGTGATTCTCTTGTTCCTTCCACTTCATCTGTGGCTCATGTCAGCGACACAGAACATAAGGAGCCAGAAACCACAATAGAGACCAATACCCCCCAAGTAAAAACAGGGTCACCTTCTCTAGAAGGCCAATTTCCAAATGAAGGAATTGCTGTAGATATGGAGCTGCAGAGTGATCCTGAAGAACTGCTTTCTGAAAATGCTTGCATCTCTGAAACTTCCTTCTCTTCTGAGAGCCCAGAGGGAGCCTGTACCAGCCTGCCCTCCCCAGAAGGGGAAACACATTCCACGTCAGGAGAATCATGTACTCCAGCCTCCCTTGAGACAACATTTTGTTCTGAAGTGTCTAGCACTGAAAATGCAGACAAATATAATCAGAGAAATGCCACTGACGAAAACCTTCATGCGTCTTTGATGTCAGAAATATCTCCAATATCCACTTCACCTGAAATATCAGAAGCATCTCTTATGTCCAGTTTACCATTACCATCTGAAGCATCGCCGGTATCCAACTTACCTTTAACGTCAGAAACATCACCAATGTCTGATTTGCCTTTGACATCAGAAACTTCTTCAGTGTCTTCCATGCTTCTCACCTCTGAGAACACTTTTGTATCCAGTTTACCACTTCCTTCAGAAACATCTCCAATTTCTAATTCTTCCATAAATGAAAGAATGGTGCACCAACAAAGAAAGTCACCTTCTATATCTGAAGAACCATTCTCCCCACAGAAAGATGAATATTCTGCCCCTGCCAAGCCCTTGGGAGAGAACCTTACCTCCCAGGAGAAGACTCTATCCAAGACTCCCGAACCCATCATAATGAGTTCTTCTTCCATGACTCCTGAGGCATTTCCACCCGAAGAATTGCACACTAAGACCCCGAGTCAGCAGCCTTGTAAATCACATGACACTGAGAAGCCCTACCCTGCTTTGATTCCAGAGCTTCCTTCTACTGAAATGATAAAAGTTAAAAATCATAACATCCTACAAAGAACAGAAAAGAAAGTAGCATCCTTGCCATTGGAATTGTCTGTCTTTTCTGAAGAAACAGAGAGTAAGGGAAATGAGCTTCCATCTGCTAAATTACAGGACAAGCAATATATCTCATCAGTAGATAAGGCTTCATTTTCAGAAGGCTCTAGAACTAAAACACACAAGCAAGGGAGCACACCGAGTCGATTGGAAACCTCACATATTTCCAAGTTGTCAGAGCCCTCCAAATCACCGGATGGGATAAGACATGAAAGTAGAGATTCCGAGATATCAAAGAGGAAAACTGCAGAGCAGTACAGCTTTGGAATCTGTAAGGAAAAGAGAGCTAGAATAGAAGATGATCCGTCAAGCCGAAACATATCATCCAGCAGTGCACCTGAGAAAGAACAGCCTCCAAGAGAGGAGCCCAGGGTTCCCCCTCTCAAGGTATGGCATTAAATAAACAAGCAAAAAGGCAATTCCAAAGATAGGCTTTTTCTATTCAGAAGCTTAATTTTTCAAGAATAAATTAGGTTGTCCTCCTTCCAGGTTTTATGCAGCAATGTATAATCTAATCCTCCCAGCACCCAGTCTAAGAGTAAATGATCCTTTTAATGATTATGCATTGAAAGCACACAAGAAAGTTGAGATATATGTATATAATTAGACCTCAACACTTAAAGAAAAAAAACTGAGGAGAGAGAACAGGGTTGGAAAAGCCTATAGGCCACTGAGACACCAGGACTTACGGGAATTCCAAGTTGCAGGACAGAGACCTGCATAAACTCAGAAGAAAGTGAAGGGTAATTCAATGCCTTGTACAAGTTCAGTAGAACTAGAGAAAAAAGTTGTCAAAAGTCAGAAACCAGCAGATGAAGGTATTACTTCTTCATTTGTTTTCCAACAAACATTGAACTCCATCATTGATCAGTGGAGAGGACCTAGCTTATGATTGAACCTCATTAAATATTTCTTGAATAAACCAATAAAATTACCTTATGAACATTGAGGGAGAATGCATATAAAGATATACAAATCCTGGTTTGTTTGTTTTTAATTTCTAAGATAGTAAATAGGCCTTTAATCTAGCAAAATAATAGATCCATGTAGACAGACATTTCTGTTTATATATTTTCTTTTGATCCCAGGTAAATTTTCCCTCTCAAAAAACAAGCCTTTTATATAAATTGGCTCTGCCTGAGTAAACTGAAAATTAAGGTAATTCAAAAGAAGCCCTATTTGTAATTTAAAAAAATCCCTACCCTCTGGTATTTATACTTAGTTGATGCTTTTATCTAAGCTTATTTATATTATCATATAATAAAGTGGAATATTTCATTATAGGATTGGCCAAGAATTATTAACATCTCAAGCTTTTAGAAAATCTTTATTTTTCTCTGTTCTACTTTTTACATGAATTCATATCTCCACAGGATGAATTTTTAAGAGTATGATTGTAGTTAATCTATTTAATTAAGCTGTTCCTATTAAATAAAATTCTAGAGCTATAAAAGGTAAATATAAATGACAATTAAAATTGTGTACTTTAATTTCTGAAGCAATAGAGAGAATAATATAAATATTATTTTCATAGGAAATAGTTTTAAATATACCAGGATGATTATTTTTGTTGTTGTGTGAGAAGTTAATTTTATTTTATTATTTATTTATTTTTGAGTTGGAGTCTCACTCAGTCGCCCAGACTGGAGTGCAGTGGCCACTCCCTGCCACCGCAGCCTTGCTTGCTGGGCTCTGGCAATCCTTCCACCTCAGCCTTTCGAGTAGCCAGAATTACAGGCCTGCGCTACCACGCCTGGCTGATTTTTTGATTTATTGTAGAGATGAGGTCTTGCTGCCCAGGCGGGTCTCGAACCCGCGGGCTCAGGCAATCCACTCACCTCAGCCTCCCAAAGGCGCGGGATTACAGGCTGAGCCACCAAGCCCGGCGAGAAGTTTATTTTTAAAGTGATATGTATTTTACCTAGAGATAGATGGGCCCAGCATAGTATGGCTCACACCTGTAATCGCATCACATTGGGAGGTGGAGGTGAGAGGATTACCTAAACCTGGGGTTTCAAGACCAGCCTAGGCAACTTGGCAAGACCTCATCTCTACAATAAATCAAAAAATTAGCCGGGTGGTACACTCCCATAGTCTTAGCTACTTGGAAGGCTGATCCAGAGTCTGGATGACAGGGTGAGACTCTGACTCAAAAAATAAAAATAAAAAGATAGATAAGTAGATAGGTAAATACCATAAGCATATTTGATATTTGTTTGGCCTTAAGCTCTTGCTTAATTATATTTAAGTTTAATTTTTCAGACTAAGGGAAATATTTAAAAGGATAAATTGAATCCCCTCCCCAAATTCATCTTTTTTTGGCCTTTGAAAATGAGAATTGAGATAACTCAGGAAGATAATTCCATCTATCAAAGTTCCAAAGCATAATTTTAAATTGATATGTGTGACGCAGATTAAAAAAATCAACAGAATACATGTAAACAACACTGAACTGGGAGCCCAAAGGCTGTGTCACTCACTATTTATATGTCTCCAGAGCAGACTACTTTACCTCCACAGGCTCAATTTTTTTCAACTGTAAAATTAAGGACTTTTAACTAGAGCTCGCCGAGCTCTGCACAGCTATGACTCTAAACACACGCTTAGTGACTAGAGCATCCCACCATTGCTGGGGGATGCTGAATGTTAGGTCTTACACCTCATGAATTTGCTGATGACTTTGTGAGCCTCTTGCTTAGCATGAATAGGTAAACAATGTGGATTGGGACATATACAAAATTCAGCATACTGTTGATTAACACTATCAAAAGAAACTGTCCAACCCAGACTTCCTTTTAGAGGCAGAAAATCAGACTTGCCCTTGCTTTTATGCAAATGTAATGATAATACAGTCCCTTTGGAAAACAGAACAGTCTCACAAATGTAGTCTCATTTCATCTTTAAATCAGCTCTTTGAAGGAAATAGACCAGAAATAACTAGTCTCGTTTTACTACTGATTTTACAAACTTCTCTTGTGTTCTTTTTATATATGTATAAAACATCATACAGGGTGGTATGGGAATATATAAAAAATCAGGGAAGTTATCGGAGAAATTGAGGTACATCAATATTTGCCTTGGATCAGGGAAGTTATTGGAAAAATTGAGGTACATCAATATTTGCCTAGGACCACAAGGATCCTTTGTGTAAAGTCATAATAAGAATTCTAGTTCCCAGCTTCTTGATCAGGGCTTTCTTTTTTAGGTGAAGTTAAGACAGATAAACTCAAATAGAGTTGAGGTCCCACTTTTCATATGAGCAAGAAAGTCAATTTAACCATCTCTAAGTCTGTTTAGCTAACTCCATTTTAAGAAGCATGGGTTTTGCTTTTATATATGTGAGGCATAAAGAAGTTGCTTTATTTCCACACCAAGTGAAGTCATGGTTGATGTTTTTGTAGACTAAAAACAGAGATAAAAACTTAGTTTTCATGTTCATTCTACATTGATTGTTGCTTTCTACCTTGAAGGCCCATCCAGGGATTTAGGTGTGTAGTAAGTCCCTACATATGAATGAGTTCTGTTCCAAAAGTGCATTCATAAGTCCGATTTGTTCATTAAATCCAACAAAGTTAGCCTAGGTACCCAACTAACACAATTGGCTATATAGTACTATACCACTAAATAATCACTGCTTTTATGCTTGCTTCTGGACTTCCTGGGCTTAAAATAAAGATACTATACTACTGTACTCTATACAGTTAACAAAAGCACAAACAAAATTATATAGAGTTATATATATTATATGTTAAGTTATATACTTAAAATTATATATATTTTACACAATATTATATAAAGTTATATATATTTTATTATATGAAGTTATATATATTTTGCACAATAAAATTATATAAAGTTAAAAGGATATATGAACATGACAGTGTATGCCAGACATGTGATCTAACTTATGTAATGGAACATGCAAAAGTATGAAAGTTTTGCAACTTGAAAGTTCATAACTAGAAGGTTCGTATGTAGGGGACTTACTTCATTCTGCATGATGAAAGAACATAGTGAGTCTTTCCCCTTGCATTACTGCGTTCAACATGCCTCCTCTGTGATCATGTATGAAGCATGTTTTCCATTCTCTCCTTCTTTTAGATCCAGCTTTCCAAAATTGGGCCACCTTTTATAATCAAGAGCCAGCCAGTCTCCAAACCAGAGTCTCGAGCGTCCACTAGCACATCCATCAGTGGGGGCAGGAACACAGGAGCCAGGACCCTCGCAGATATCAAGGCCCGAGCCCAACAAGCTCGGGCCCAGCGAGAGGCTGCTGCAGCTGCTGCTGTAGCCGCTGCAGCAAGTATCGTTTCTGGAGCCATGGGAAGCCCAGGAGAGGGTGGAAAGGTGAGAACCCTGGCACACATCAAAGAGCAGACCAAGGCTAAGCTCTTTGCAAAACATCAAGCCCGAGCCCACCTCTTCCAGACCTCTAAAGAGACCCGGTTGCCTCCACTCAGCTCAAAGGAAGGACCTCCAAACTTAGAAGTCTCTTCTATCCCTGAAACAAAAGTGGAAGGTTCACCTGGCGTCATCATTGTCAATCCAAACTGCAGATCTCCTAGTAACAAGTCTACACACCCCCGGGAGACCACCACTGTATTACAACCGTCTCTGAATCCAACTAAACTTCCAGAAACTGCCACTGACTTATCTGTGCATAATTCTGAGGAAAACATACCTGTGTCACATTTATCTGAGAAAATTGTTTCATCTACCTCTTCTGAAAATAGCGGTGTGCCCATGCTTTTTAATAAAAATCCTGTCCCTGTATCTGTTTGTGGCACTGCTATGTCGGGAGCAATTAAAGAACATCCCTTTGTGAGTTCTGTTGATAAATCCTCTGTTCTAATGTCTGTTGACAGTGCAAACACTACAATTTCTGCTTGTAATATAAGCATGTTAAAAACCATCCAGGGAACTGACACTTCATGCATAGCCATTATACCAAAATGTATTGAAAACACTCCCATTCCGGCCACTACAGAGAGCTCCGGTGTATCAAGCTCCATGGATGAAAAGCAGTTACTAATACCTAGCAGCAGTGCTAGTAACTTAGTCTCCAGTCCCTACACCTCTGTGCCAACTCCCTCCATTGGAAGTAACTTGCCAAACCATCTCTCCACGAGCTCTGTCTTGATTCCCCCAACGGGAATTAACAGATTTCCTTCTGAGAAGATAGCCATACCTGGGAGTGAAGAACAGGCCCCCGTATCCATGGGTCCCACTGTGAGAGCAGCCCTCAGCTGCAGTGATTCAGTCACGGTCACAGACTCTCTGGTTACACACCCGCCAGTCGCAATGTTTACTGGAAACGTGTTGACCATAAACTCTTATGATAGTCCTCCCAAGTTAAGCGCTGAAAGCTTGGACAAAAATTCAGGGCCTCGAAACAGGGCAGACAATTCTGGAAAACCTCAGCAACCGCCTGGGGGCTTTGCACCAGCAGCCATAAACAGATCAATTCCATGTAAAGTCATCGTGGACCACAGCACCACGCTGACCTCCAGTTTGTCTCTGACTGTCTCCATCGAAAGTGCAGAAGCCAGCCTGGACCTCCAGGGCCGGGCAGTAAGGACAGAGGCATCCATGGAGCCCATAGCGTGTCCTCAGGTGTCTGTCATTAGCAGGCCTGAGCCTGTTGCAAATGAAGGTGTAGATCATGGTTCTAGTTTCGTTGCCACTTCTGCAGCAAAACAAGACTGTAAAGCACTGCAGGCCACCTGCACAACTCTCCGAAAATTACCCCTTGTCATTCCAGATAAATTAAAAGAGGTGACTGCTCCTAGTCATAGCTTTGCTGAGCAGGCACGTGGCCCAACAACTTTCAAGAGTGAAGCTGACACAACCTGTGGCAATCAATATAACCCAGGTAATCGGATTTGCTGGAACGATGATGGGATGAGGAACACAGGGCAGCCTCTGGTTAGTCACTCGGGTTCAAGTAAACAAAAAGAATATCTAGAACAGAGCTGTCCGAAGGCTATCAAAACTGAACACGCCAGCTACTTGAATGTGTCAGAACTTCACCCCAGGAATCTCCTAACAAATGTCACTCTTCCTCTGAAATCTGAGCTTCCTGAAGTGGACAAGGGCTTTAGAATGGATACTGAAGACTTTCCTGGCCCGGAGCTGCCTCCTCCAGCCGCTACGGAGGTGGCCTCTAATATCCAGCAAACACAGACTGTGAAAGCTTCCACCTCGAGTCCCATGGAAGAGGCCATTTCCTTGGCTACAGACACCCTGAAAAGAGTCCCCAGTGCAGGGAGCTCAAGCTGTCGTCTTTCCTCTGTGGAGGCCAACAATCCACTGGTGACACAGTTACTACAGGGCAACCTGCCTTTGGAAAAAGTGTTGCCACAGCCCAGACTGGGAGCCAAGCTTGAAATCAACAGGCTTCCTTTGCCTCTTCAAACTACCTCAGTGGGTAAAACAGCACCAGAGAGGAGCGTGGTTGAAATGCCATCCAGCTCTCCAAACCCAGATGGTAAGGGCTACTTGGCAGGGACTCTCGCGCCACTGCAAGTGAGAAAGCGAGAAAACCACCCCAAAAAGAGAGTAGCCAGGACTGTGGGGGAACACACTCAAGTTAAATGTGAACCAGGAAAAGTGTTGGTAGAGCCCGATGGCAAAGGGGTGCCTTGTGTCATCAGTTCCGGCATGAATCAGCTAGGCCATAGCCAGCCATTTAAGCAGGAATGGCTCAACAAGCACCCCATGCAGAACAGAATCGTCCACAGTCCTGAGGTCAAACAGCAAAAGCGCCTGCTCCCCTCGTGTAGCTTCCAGCAGAGCCTATTTCACGTCGACAAGAATGGCGTTTTCCACCCTGACGCTGGTACCTCACACAGACCGCAGTTTTACCAAATGCCTATGGCTGCCCGGGGCCCCATCCCTACCGCAGCTCTGCTGCAGGCCTCTTCCAAGACCCCAGTGGGATGTCACGCGTTTGCCTTCAACAGGCACCTTGAGCAGAAAGGACTGGGAGAGGTTAGTCTGTCCTCGGCCCCTCACCAGCTGAGGTTACCCAACATGTTATCCCCCAGTATGCCCATGAAAGAAGGCGATGAGGTGGGGGGCGCCGCCCACGCAATGCCCAACAAAGCCCTAGTGCATCCGCCGCCCCCGCCGCCGCCCCCACCCCCGCCCCCTCCGCCCTTGGCTTTGCCCCCGCCTCCCCCACCACCACCTCCACTACCTCCACGTCTCCCCAGTGCAGAAGTCCCACCCGATCAAAAACAACCGTCGGTTACCATGGAAACCACTAAGCGACTTAGTTGGCCACAGTCCACGGGCATATGTAGCAATATAAAATCGGAACCTCTTTCTTTTGAGGAAGGTTTAAGCAGCAGCTGTGAACTGGGCATGAAACAAGTTTCCTATGACCAGAATGAAATGAAAGAACAGTTAAAAGCGTTTGCGCTAAAAAATGCAGATTTCTCTTCCTATTTGCTTTCTGAGCCACAAAAGCCTTTTACCCAATTAGCTGCTCAGAAAATGCAGGTGCAGCAGCAACAACAGCAGCTCTGTGGAAATTATCCAACAATACACTTTGGTAGCACGAGTTTCAAAAGGGCAGCATCTGCAATTGAAAAGTCCATTGGGATTTTAGGAAGTGGCTCCAATCCTGCCACGGGCCTGCCTGGTCAGAACGCTCAGATGCCCGTTCAGAACTTTGCCGACAGCAGCAATGCGGATGAATTGGAACTGAAATGCTCTTGCCGGCTGAAAGCCATGATTGTGTGCAAAGGCTGTGGGGCCTTCTGCCACGACGACTGCATAGGTCCTTCCAAACTCTGTGTAGCATGCCTGGTTGTACGATAAGAGTGGAGTGAGATGCAGTATCCCTTTTCCACACAGAAAAGCCAAATGGCATCAGCAACAACAAACCGAATGGCGCCGTGGTTTTAGATCATGCTAATTTTTTTTGCTTTGGAACAGATTCCCTTTTTGCGATGGAATTATTCTTTTCTTGCATTTCTCATAAAGGGGAGGATTCATAGTGACCGGATGGCTCAGCGGCAGGTCTTTTGTCTTTCACATATTTAGTTGCCATTCCAGCTTTGGAAAGTTTCTGTCTGTGTATACAGGTCACTGCCCCATACTTTTTTTTTTTTAAGTTTTGACCCAAATGTGGATAGGAAAAAACATTTTTCACTTAATGATAACCAGAAATGCAGATGTAGAAAGAGAATGGTAAAGTGATTGAAGGTGGTTCTGCATTTTTCCACAGATTAGCCATGACAGCTAGGATTTTTACAGTTGACTTTTCTGGACCTACCTTTACCATGATGATGAAATCATATTTGGAAAGTGGAATCTGACCACATGTAAGATTCCTTGTATTTACTCATCTCATAAAAGATATATTAAAGGAGGTATGCCATTAATGAACTCTACTGTCCTGATTATTCTCTTTCCTCCCATTTTACTCTTTCTCAGAGACTGTGGCAGAATATCTAGGTCTGCCTTGGATTTTGTACACATATTGTAGTGAAATTGCAGCATGGGCTTCATTCCTATTAGTCTTGTTCTAACTCTTTGATACTTGAAAATATGAGATCAATTGGCAAACCAAGAGCCATAGACCCAGAGATTTTGAAGCTTTATGTGTGGCTTTTAAGAGCAACTTTGGGGGTGGGAGGGAATTAAAAATTTAAAGCAAAAAAATAAAATGCTGTATATGCATGTATAAATGAGTTACTATTGTAAATATCAGTCCATTCTATTCACTCTAATACAATTATTAGTTATTAAAATTTGGGGGAATATTATTGTAGCCCTTTTTTTGGCGACACCCATGCATTCTGGCTGCTGCCTTGCAGAGGTCAGCCACTTCTTTTTAAAAGTGTCATTGATAAAAAGGACTACCCAAGGCTGAAGTGTTGACATTTTCTGGAATATTTTTTTCTCATGATTCATAACCTATATAATTATATTTGACTCTGAAATAACCCTTTAAAAATTTTTCTAGGGATGGCGTGTTTTGGTTTATTTTTCCCCTCAGGTGGATTTAATACATTCTTCATTATTTGGGGGGACTACTTTTGAAAAAGGGATACTGCATCTTACAATTATATTCAGTGTTTATCTAGTAAAATCTGATTGTTGAATATTTGAGCTACATTCCATGTACTTTGGTCACCCTCATGCCAGAGAACAGCTGTAGTTCAGGAGGCTCTGTTCCCAAAAGCAAGTTCAAAAGCACATACACATTGTGGGAAGATGAAAGAAAGCAAAAACCAACCACGCCCATTTAACTTCAGATTACAGAGCACAAAATGTGGAGTGCCGTTAACCCATTGATTGATTGTGGCTGTAGAATCAAAAAAGAAAACATGGCGGGGGGGATCATTTGTATCCAGGGTAAGAAAGACAGATATTTTCACATGGGATCATCCTAATTAAACTTTTTGACATTCCCTTAAAACACATCTTAAAAGTTGACTGGAATGAGCAGAAATTACAGTCCTGAAAAACAAAAAAAACTTGTGATTTTTTTGTAATAGCTGTATATTATTTTTTCCTCCATATTTATTGTGATGTTGCCAAATTTCTTTAGATGATAGAGACATCATTTGGAATAACAAATTGCTGATAGTGAAAGGTAATAAGGAAGAAAAGCAAAGAAAGGCCTGCTGCTGTAGCCATGATTCGGTGCTTCCGTACTGTCATTTCTGTTTTTCACAGCAAAATTAACAAAACTAAAGACTGAGAAAGTTAGCAATGTACTTACCAGCCTTTCCCAAGGAATGCAGCATTAAGTTCCAGCGGATTCTTAGTTAAGTCTGCACTGCACACCAGGTTGTGTTGGGATGATGTCCTTTTCAGTGGTGTCTGTATGGTCTCCTTGACTCTGATATCGTCGTGATTCTGAAGATCCTACTCTTAATGTCACAGCGGGGCACCCCTATCATATAGACACTTGCATGCCAACTCCTTCCAAATTCAGTTGCCACTATACCAGTGTCAGATACTGTCTACACCAGCAGATTGAAAACTATCACATCAGTAACTGACATGGTGTTGAAAGAATCTCCAGTCTGCAAAAGCTTTGCCCTCTGTCTGTGAGGTACAATTGAGGCTGAAGGGATACTCAGCTCATTATCAGTTCCCTCATTGTTGAATACTGCCTGCAAGTTGCTTACTGGGAATAAAGAAAAGTGTCCTTCCGTATGTTTTGAATTTTCCCATAATAGGTTTGGGGAATCAATTGTTGACAGTGCATGGAATCTCTCACCCAGGTCCAAAGAGCATAATTTTTCTGTGCCCTTGCTCTTTTTTGCCTCAGTTCAAAATTCCTAGTGCTCTCATATGGTTTATATTACTGAAAAATTAATATCTTTGGACTAAAAAAAGTAAGGGAAAGGAAGAAGAGAAAATCAGACGTAAAATGTGGATCAGGTATTTCATAGGTGTCCATTTAATATGTATACAAAAGCCAGTATGTTTGAGTCCAGTGAGTAGGTTCTTAGCGTCCTGATTTCTTCATATGTCTGCCTATGTGCAAATGAAGTATGTTATTTACTACATGGTTATTGTGGTGTAATGTGCAAATTTTAGTGTGTGCATTATCCTGATTATTGGACACTATTTTATCCCTATCAGGAATAGAACTTGCACATGTAACATGCAATTTTTTTTAAAATCACAAAGGATATATTTCCCTAAGTAGCACTTTTGGAGCAGGGGAAGGAAGAACACTGCTATTTCCCTAATCCCCCTCCTCTATGATATGCATATGCCTGAGGTGTATAAAGACATTTAGGTTAGTTAATGGGCATGTTAATAAAAGCATCCTGATGCAGATTCACTTTCAAAATGAAAATATTTTTTTCTTCCCCAAAGTGAGATTTGCAGAAACTTTGGTGAACTGAGCACCGTAGTTATAAATATTTCCCTGCAAAGGTCTCGTTTGAAGGAAAAAACTTGAAAACAAACCTGTGAGGTTGAGCTTGGTTGCTATAAAGACTTTGGGGGTAGTATGTGTTTCTAGGATGAGCTCTAGAAGGTTTGGTTGACTTCTGGACCTTGGATATTCTTACTCAGTTCAAAATAAACACCCGAAAACAAGTGCGTGCATATGGTGCTTTATACTGCAGTCAAGAGCAAGAATACACATTGCTGCAGCCCATTTTCCTTTACAAACACTCGCACAAATTCAAAAGAGGAAGTTCCTGTGGCCTCCGGTTTCCCAGTTCCTCTGTGGCATGGTGAAGTCCCAGGTTTTAGAAACTGAAGCCAAGCTTAGGGTTGCATCATCTTGATGGTGTTGAGGTCCAGCACAGCAGTAGCTGCCTAGTGGGAATGACCCCCTCTGAGCATGCAGAGCCCAGAGTCACTGTCCGTCTGTGTTCCCAGAGAACAATGTGAAGAGTCCTAGGACAGGAACTCAGCAGACTGTCAGGGGCCTATGTAGCCAAATCGTCACTGAATAGAAAATTCCCGTCGTCTTCAGTCCTCATGCTTTGTCACTGTAAAGCGAACAAAAAGCATTTTTACTATAATTTAAAGGAGCTGCTTTTTTATAGCACATTACTATTTCGCTTTGTACTATATTTGATAGTTGCAGAATAATTTAGACTGTAGAAAAACTTTGTTGTATTTGTACTGTTCATGAATGTTTCAAAGAAAGTGCTTTACTTGGTTGCCATAATTTTCTTGTACTGCTGTATTTTTCCCCCGCTTCATGGAAACCTAGTCTGATTCATATTTTCAGTAGTTTTTTGGTTTTTTTAAATATGTGTTTGTGTGTATTTTTTTTTTTTTTTTTGGTCAGTATTCTGAATGTTTACATCTGTTTGACATTAGCCATTTAATGCCTTTTTGTAAAGGCGAAATTATTCCTACAGTGTAACAGCAAAATGTGAAATCTACCCAAATATAACATGCATGACAAACACAGATTGGGGGCGAAGGCCCTGAACATACACAGACATTTTATATCAGCCTACAGAAAAGTAAAATCCTCCTTCCGTCCTCTACCAAAGAATATATTATTCCCACAGGAAAAACTCAGAAAAGGTGTGTAAATGCCTCAGAAGGGGGAGCAGTTGATTCAGTAAGACTGCTACAATTTCATACTGTTACGCTTGCTTTGATACCTGACTAAATGTGACTGAGTGCTACAAGCATTTAAAAAACTTTTAGACAGTGTTTTGTTTAGAATTCAGGGATCATGCATTCTTTAATGGTGCTGTTTGTTTTTTTATTTCTTTTCTACAAAGAAAACAAGTGTTGCCTATAAAAGTGACTGCTCACGATACCATAAGTTAAATGAAATGTTTTTCTCTTCATGTTTCTCTGTTTTTCCCTTTCTCAAAGTAACAACTTGGGTTTCAATATTAAAATATTCTGAAGAAAATAAAGAAATTAAACATGAAACAATTGTCACTTTTAATTTTTTAATGAAATGAGAGTTTATATATGTAAAATGTACTCAATATATTGAGATTTTTATTAAGAAAAAAATTATAAGGAAAGCATAAACCATATACTGCAAATTTACACTTCTCTTTGGTATGGTAAATTGTCAACATATAGCTAAAACAGTAAAAAAAAAAAAAAACAACGAATGGTTTCTGCTATGTTATCATAGCTACGTTTGGACCTTGTTTACATTTCTCTTCATGTTTATTTTACATCAAAAGATGTAAAATAATTTACATCTTATTTTTATATCAAAAAGCGTTCAAGTCAAACAAGTTGTTATTACAATATTTAATTTTAACTTTCAAAATGAACAGTTCAGAAAATGATCTTATAAAGGAATCCTCTGGTTATATTTTTTAGTCCTGCATCAAATATTATCGCTAAAGCTGTTTGAATAAAATGTTGTGACCCATTATAACAAAATTGCCTCAATTATATATACATAGGTTAAAGAAATATGCATATCTTTTCAGTAAGATGAATCAGAAGGCATTAAACAGAAATTTATGGCTGTTAAATCTGACTTCAACGCAGAAAGTGTTTTCTTTAACCACCAGATGGCGAAAGAGGATATCTACTTTGGAGGGGGAAAAAGAGAAAAAAAACTATGCTTCTTCCTCTTCCAAAAAATAAATTCTGATAATAAAAGTCCAATTTATTCAAGTAAGTCAGTGGAGGGTGAATACTTCTAAGTTTCATGACAGCATTTTCCTTACAATGATGATGTTTCTTTTTTGCTCCATATTTTTTTCTATTACATATTCAAAATGCTTTCTTAATTTATTTAGAAATGCAGGTTTCTTTTTTTAAAAATTATTGTTTTCATTTTATTACTCCACAGGCCAAAACTCATTTGATAAAACCGAATGGCTCAGCATTCTTTAAGTTGACATTTATTGAAACTGATCTGAATGCTTTATGTGTGTTTAATTCATTCATTCCCATAAAATAAGTACAATTATACAATATATAAATATTCCATGACATTTGATACATGAATGTGGCCTAATTTGAATAATAATATCTCTTCGAATCTAGAGTGTTTCTCTGTATCCATCATAGCCCTTATCTAAGAACAAGTGATCTATCCAGTGACTTGTTTGTTTTCACATGAGTTCTTCATTATGATCAAAGACAATTATGTTATTTAGAAGGAATATAGCCAGGGGCTTAGTTGACACAACAATTTTGGGATTGGATTTCTTTTTGCAGAAAGAAGTTGAATAGAAATCCTTTTCAACTTCATAAAATTAGTTTAAATCTTTACTTATAGATCATCTGGACTTAATATTTCAAGGGCAGACATACACAATTATTCACAATGACCTGCAAAAATGAAGAGCTGAAATAACCAAATGTCACAACTAATCTGGAAATCTAAACTGAGTGATAAATCTAGTCCTCTTCTCTATAGAAAGTGTTATCCAAGTGGCCAATATAATTAATTACGTACTCTCATTACTTTGAGGAAAAAACCTGATTTATAAAACAGCGAATAATTTTATTATTTTATTTAAAACAATCTATTTTAAGTTTTAAAGTTATAGTAAATATTTCATTGTGATACCTGACTATAAGTAAAGCTGGTATTAAAAATATTTTAGCCATCTTATAAGGCAATCTAAACAGATATTAGACAAATCAAAAGAGGTTGCCCAATCACAACAAACCAGTGAAGACTGGCTGAATATCAGTCTTATGAATGAAAGAGCTTCTTGAATCTTCTCTTATCAATAGTTGGGATTTATCCTTAGTACCTTTGTTACATTTGGGGGAAAGTTTGTTTCTGAGGTGCTTTTCTTTAGCTAAAAGTACCATCTACAATCTCATATCATTAATTGTATCTCTTAATTGTAATTCATAAATTATAGTTGTATATATTTATGGGGTACAAAGTCATGTTATGATTTATGAATACAATATGGACCTAATTAACATATCCATCACCTCAAGTACTTACTTTTTTATGATGAGAACATTTGAAGTGTACTCTTAACAACTGCTAAGGGGGAACCCAAATGTGTATAAGGGGGAACCCAAAAAAAGTCAGAATTATCTTTTGGAGGGCAGCGCCTTGTAGTACAGGCTTCCCCTGCTAGGTCAACCAAAAGGTCAACCAATGTTTTTATCTGGAAGTTTTGAGAAGGCTGCATTATGATTTGTGGAAGAAATATCCAGGTTGTAGCAAACTGGTGACTGGGTGACTGGTTTTTCTATCATGACGATGCCCCTACCCACACTGTGCTGAGTTTTCAGCAGTTTTTGACCAAAAATGACATGACGCCCATGTCCCACCCTCCCTATTTACTCAGTCTTGCCCAACATTTTTTGGTTTCCCCGGGTGACCTTTTGCTGATGTGGAAAAGGTGAAACTAAAAACAGCAGGCGCACTCAAAGACATCAAAATTGATGAGCTCAAAAACTCTTTTTGAGCAATGGAAAAAGCATCTCTATTAGTGTTTTGCATCAAACAGAGAAGGTGCCTCAAATTTAAACATGTAAAAATAAATGCATACTTTTTAAATAAATAAATTGTGATGGGGAGCAGCATATTTATTTTAAGGAAATCATTTAGAGGTGTTTCAAAAGGGAGCTTTAACCCAAACACAATGAACGCCTAGTAGTTTCCACATTTGCTTTTCCCAAATAGACTGTTGAGAGGGCCATCCTCATAAATAATGACTTGTCCAAAGAGTGGAGCACCAGCTGCTTTAAAACAAGGTTCTGAGAACTTGAAGTCACATAAGATCCATCACATTTTATATAGTTCCATCACCAAGTCTTTATTATTTTTATCAAAACCTTGTAAATGGAAAATTTTACACCTTTGACCCAAACTTACAAATCTCTAGTTTTAAATTACGATTTTACTTCAGGAAAGCACTGTGTTTGGCATCCTCATTCTTCCATGAAGAAGGAGTGCAGAGGAACTTCAGAGGAGTGCAGAGCTGTGGTTCAAGTTTCCTTGAATCGTTTGGCTTTCAGTATCCAATTCTGGGATGATATAGCATCTCCCTGATATAGGAAAGCATGATTGGCCACAATAACTGTAGAAAGTGTGAGCTTTGCAGGGGGGTGTTCTCTCGTATAAAAGTTGCAACATTTACTTATGCCTATTTATATAGAAATAAAACATGACTTCTTACTGTAACAAACATTTACATTCAGTTTAAATCTTTAAAATGAGGATTTGAAAGGTGTGTGAGTGGGGACAATATTCTGTGATGACTTCTAAGTGGAAACCACTAATACAGTTTATACCCCTTCTCCCTTTAACCCTGTGGGCTCAATTTTTTTTAGTACATTTTAAAATAAAGTCATTACATCTCCAAAAAAGAAAAAAAAAGCAATGGGAAATTAGTTGGCATTTTTTTTTTTTTTTTTTTTGAGTTGG